ACGTCGTCGTTAAGTTTAAGAGGTCTCAGGAGGAATTGCGCGAAGCGGAATTGCCACACTCTTTAGACATCACTTTAATGTTGTAATTTGTAGTTAAGGCTTCCAGCACGGGGATGAATTAATGACTTAAACAGGTTTCCCCCGTGTTTTAAGGCTACACTCTCTCCATATAATTAAAGCTTGCCATCAAATCTCAAATAAACAAATTTGCAGTTGATTAGATACGAGTTTTGATGTTAAATTTCATAAACGAAATGCTCCATGATGTAGCAAAGTAATCGAAAGCAAACTTGTTTACCAATACTTTAGTAGACAACCTGTAAGAAAATTAAACTGTTGCTGACTTTAGAAAAATTTGGGTGAGGAGACCCAGAATGAGTTAAAATTTAGCCAAGTAGCATTTTTGCTGATTGTGCATTTTTTCCAAATGTAAAAGCAGCGAGCTCAAAGAATTCCTTTTAAGACCACTCCCGAGACACAGTGTAAATGCATTTCGCCCATCTGTAAGCGACTCTTCGATGAAGCTGCCAACTTCCTTTACCCACAAAGTACTGATAGGAATCAAATCCAAAAATAAGGAAAAAGCATCTTGCAATGTGTACAATTGAGCCAAAAGTTGTGACGTGCACAGCGTGGATGAAATAAATTCTCTTGTCTGGTTGGCGTCAGAGCTGTTGTGCGCTCAGCATTGCACAAGTCCATGAATTTACCAGAAGACCCTCTCTTACCGTACTTCCTGGAGCCCATTTCCGGAGGGCATAAATTTAGGTAATATCACTCAATTTACCAAATGTGATATTTTTTTGGGATTAGACTGCATTCATCTCATATGCCGACTTCAAAGATTGCAGTGCTAAGGAGGGGAGCACGTAGGGGCACCGCTGCAACAAGCAGTGAAATAAGACCCTCATAAAGCTCCGAAGGGATCATGAATGCCCGCTTTTGCACTTTCTCAGTGCAATTCGAAGAGGAATCATTTGATACATGAAGAACGTGCTAACATAAGTTTGCAGAACTCGCAGTTTGGAAATGTTAGTGTACATTTTGTGAAGATTTTATGGCCATTAGTCAGACATTATCGAGTAGTTATCGAAGCATTAATATTGTATCCGTTGGGGAGTGAAGTGTGCACGTCTATAAAATGTAGCCTCCTCACGCGTTCGCTACACTGCAACACTTCCATATTTAGTCCACCTTATTTTGACCAACACAACCTTAACCAAGTGAAGCAAAATAAAACATCACGTTGACTTATCAAATTACCTTGTATCCATTTTCTTCAATCCTTGCAAAACGGAGATGCAGCAAGGGAAGCCTAGCACCGGTCATGCATACCTCGTCAAGGGGCGCGTTAAGCTCAGTAGTGTTTTACTCCATCAGAAGCCTCAAATGGCAAATGCTTGAAGAATGACGTCAAATCTGCTCCCTTCTTTTTCATTCCAATTTACCCACAGCCAAATGTATGGAGGTGGTGCACAGCATCCACGTGTACTAGAGTGTTACAAAGACTTGTGCATTTCATCAGGTCCCATTTGCAGCAGTTCGAGGTATTTGACACAAGGCAGGAGTGAGTTCATTTGCCCAACACTCATATCACAGGCTTTGATTGCAAATCTCGCACAAATTCCCCCCGTACAAGCCTCCATCGCTGGTCATCTTTAAGGGAGTTTGTGCTCACAACAAGTCACATCAGTGGTTGTCCCTGCAACCCTTCCATTAAGTGGCCATTTAAATGGAGTAGACGACGTGCCATTTTAAGTTTTATGTGAACTTTTGGTATGGTGGATTAGTAAAATGGGGCGGGAAAAGATGGTCAGAAAGAAGCAGTTAAGTTGACCTGCGTCGACGCGTGGATCCCAACGAAATCAGTTTGGAACTGCTGCTGGAAATTTGGATTTGATTGCAAATGAAGGATTGCAGAGGTATTTGATGGAACATCAAACTATGTGTTAGTATCAGAACAAAGGTCTGCAGCATTATTAATGTCAGTCAATGCGGGAAAGGAAAACCAGTCGTTTTTTAGCACACATTGCCCTTATGTTTGGAAACAATTTTATATTTTTGCACTTACGTGTGTTGTGTCATGAAAGCAAGCAGCACTGTCAGAATTGTCACTTAAACCCCAAATGGTATTGCGTTCTAACCGCCTCATAAGGACTCACTCGGACAGAGCAATGACCAGGAATAAAACATTAGTCGGGTGATTTGTGAGAGCCCAAGAACGAGTCAAATGGTCAACCCTAGGTAAATGACTAGCAGTTAAAACGTCGGGCGAATGACCATATTGACAAGCTCACCTTAAGTACAAAACTTAACTGATCCAATCTCTGCGCTTGTTGCAACACACCCTAAGGAGTAAAAAGTGTGAAGTTCTGAAAACAATAAAATCGTTGCTCCCTATCCTTAAACGCACGACTGTCAGAGTTAACCCTTCGGTTATTTAAATTTTTACTTTTACCATCAACTGTTGGGATTATTTTTAATTATTTTAAGCATTGAACAGTTCAAGTATGCTCAACATGTTGGATTCTTCACACCGTGTGCGACGTAGAGTCTGTAATGCCCAAATTATTGTTAGTGCAGCTCTAAGTTTCATAAAAGGGTCCGCGTGACTGCTCCGCCATTGTACCTTCAGAAGATGAACGGACCTCCAAATCATGCCAGTTGTCCCAAGCCCTACTCCACGTCAACCATGCATTTCTTCTCGTCCTCTTTCATGCATGAAAATTCGGAGATGTTGAATTTTAATAACAAATAATCTTTTGCCATGAAAAATTGTGAGGAGATGTACACAATGTTCAGTCATTGTGAGCAAAAATTCACTGGGGAATATGTGAAGAAGCCAAACATGAGATTTACACAACCTTTGCACTCGCAGAGCCAAAAAGGCAGGCTTGCACCTGACATTTTCCCTTCAAGCTTTCATTTGAGTTTCCTTGCATTTTTTAAATCTTCGATGGATAAAAGCAGGGAATCAATTAGTCCGCTCTTGTAAAACAGATCCATTTTGATACACCTAATGTTATGTTTGAAATTAGATAGAACATGATTTAGCAAAGCAAATAAATGCTCCTACATTAATAAGTCTAAACAAGTGCATTCAAATGCACAAAAAATGGAGTATAAAGGTAATTGGTAAGATTCTGCAATACAGGCCTTTAACATGCCTGAGGGTGTTTAAAGTTGTGTGGAAAATGTCGAGCCAAAACTCAGCTCATACTACACCCTATGCTAATCCCACCATGTGCAACCTCAAATGAGCTACTGCTGTAATTGTTTAAATGTCTAACTGCCGATTTCGGTAGATGGATGTCCATATCGTCTCGATCATGTCAGTTGTTCGTAGGACTATGCCAAAAGTTTTGGTCTCTTTCCATCTGCTGAATATGCAAATGTATACTTCCTTAGCAATACGCTGCCTTCCGCTTTCAAGGAAGCTATGGGATGCCACAAACACTGTACCCTTATGATGAGAGATAAGAAATTGGAAAAAAATATGATAAAACGAAACATTCTTAGGATGGTGCAATAAATACAACCTGAGATGACCCCATTTTACGTATTTAAATGTCGCCTGCAGGTGGGTATCGGGGATTTTACCTTAAACGCCGTGCTCAAGACGTCTTCTCCCAATAAGGGAAAATAACCCCCATACATTCTGACTTATTGTGAACCTTGCTAATGCTAAATAAACCTCGATCAGGAACTAGCCTCTTTTGAATGTTATAGAAAGGAAAGACCTAAGGCAAAGCCAACGACTACAGTGATGGCAGCGATGAGAGCGTTGAACTGGCTAGGATTGATGTAACATACATAAATATATTCGAGTTTTTAAGTTTGCTTTTATAGTGGAGAGGTGGGAGGTCACCTGAAACGCGAACCCGGTGCGTGAGGGCCGTAATGAATACCTCTTTGGGTGATATCTACTTTTGGGTTCATCTATACTCCTCTCCCCGTACTTTCTGTATTAAGTGCCTAATAAATCTACTGCAACTTACCCTCTCTTAAAGTCCGTGGTTCAAGGGCATGAGAGTGGACAGGCGGTCCCTACAATTGCATCCTGTAAATGACAGTTAATCCTAGTATTTCAGGTCTTCTTCAGAGGGCGAAGGGTCCGCGATGCGTAGGTAATGCTTTGTTTATGTGACTACCTGATGTTTGGCGGCCACCTTAGAATTTGTCTGACCTCTGTACACTTGAACTGGCCTTCGGGCCACGCTCAGGCCCCATTCGCCCTGTTGTTTTCGGAATACATGTATTCAACCTCACTCATGCCTTCTACTACCCTGTGGGAATCCTCGGGACGCTACAGCGTACTCTGGCCCTTGCATTGTGCACCTCCACGTCAAATAAAGCATTCAAGGAGAGTCAGACTCATAGGGAACTAGTAAAGTAGGATTACGACCGTAATTTTAACAAAGGTATAAGTAGGCTCACACAATTCATGCGACTTCTGTCATTAGATAAGATGCTCGTAATCTTGGTGCTGAGATGTTCCATGAATAGCTATAGCATGATAAGAAGGCCATCTCAACAAATAAAACCATGACTTCAATAAAATTTTCATAAACAAAACCACAAATTCCTTTAGCAATAAGTAACAGGGCTATAGTTAAATAGAGGAAGCAGAAAATAAGTCGTTTCCTTAAATGTCGATCCTAGAATTCAAAAACTGTAACTAAAGACAAACAATAAAGATAAAGTGACATAAAAGTTTTACAAAAAATAAATAATCATAAAAAATTTTTGAAAGAATTTTGAGAATGGACACGATTTATAATGAGCATGTTTTAATTGGCCAAATTGCGGTGATTGATAAATACCGCCGGACCAAAGCTGAATAATAAGAGTTGTTATTTTATTAGTTATCAATGAGGTAAATGGGCCTGCGCTTCTTTTTCTTAGCACTCTCATGTGCTTTCATAGTTCGTGTTGAAACATGTAGGTGAACTTGTGTGGTTACGTATCATTTAGTGTCTCTGCCACCTTCATTTACAAAGATGCCCAATAAGCAAGCCGTTTTCATACCTGGGGAAGCTATAGTACTGCCTTGCAAAGTTAATGCTTGGCCAACTCCAAGGTCAGGTCAGTTGCATAAAACATTATTTTTTAGGTATCGTTGGACAAAAAATGGACAGGACTTTAACTGGGCAGGCAATATTGGTCGTTATACAAAGTATCCAGGAGAAGGCACTATTGTTCTAGCTAAACCTGGAACTGATGACGATGGATTGTACCAATGTTTTGCTGAAAATAAATATGGTGTAGCTGTATCAAATGTGATAAATGTAAAACGCGCAGGTAACTTACAAATCGTTTGCTAACACTGTTCAGAGATGGGACAATTCGTTGACCCCAAAACTACAACAGTCGTGAGGAGAATAGGGGAATCCGTGTCACTGCCATGTCAAGTGCCTCTAGGCTATCCGCCTCCGGTTGTTACTTGGCAAATGTCGAAGGATGCCCAACTAGACTACATCAAAGAAACCAGCCGGCTAGCAATTGATGTGGATGGTAATCGGCGTTGGTGAGTGTTAATCTCCAACTTAAGGCACTCTTCATATCGCTGCGATTCTTTCCACGGACGACGGCGTCACTTTTCAATGTGTTGCAAATAATGAGATCATTCGGGAGCAAACAACCGGTCCGGGATACAAAATTACGGCAAGATATCCAGAGGTAAATACAGAGTTAAGGATTCACTTTTTTAAAATGTACTAACGTCTAATTTTTTGCTTTTTTCGTAGATAAACCAGCCAATAACATTTTTATATCAAACGCCTTACACATCACTTGCTGTTGTTGGTGAAGTCCTTCGTCTACAGTGCATTTTGGGTGGTTATCCTCTTCCAAGTTATCGTTGGTATAAGGATGGCAAAGATGCAACTTTGGTATATTTTTTGGTCTTACGAATTACACACTTTTATTTAGTCCCCCAACACAAATATAGTTAACATGGGGACAACTTTGGAGATAAATCCTGTAACGAATGCCACTGCAGGACAGTACCGATGCCAGGGTGTTAATGAGGCAACTATGACTTCGATGAACTATGAGTACGAAGTGAGAGTGAAGTGTATGTTTTGGAACAGTATATTCCATTGTGGTTTCAATATTAGTAAGTGCAACTTTTGCATTTATAGCTGCTCCAAAATTTACTACTTTTCCGGTTGATACGATGGTACCAGAGAATGGAAGCGTGATATTCACTTGTGAGGCCGAAGCCGATCCTAGACCGAAGGTTAGGTGGACTGTCAACGGACTTGATCCCTCTTTTTATCTTGATGGAGTAAGGAAACTTATTAGTGGAAATGTAAGTGAAAAAGATTGCTTTCCTGAAAATAATCGGAAAAAGAAAAAGTGCTGACTTTTTTTGCCCTAGACCATGATTCTTAACAACTTGACGGTTGACGACAACGCAGTGATTCAATGCAACGCATCCAACTCCTTCGGCTATGATTTTGTCAACGCTTTTATTAATGTACTTCGAGAGCCGCCCTACATCTATGAGGCACCACCGAAAAACCTGAGACAGACAGAGGGTACATTAGTGTTGCTGCCATGCCGATCCTACTCTGCGCCGAGGGCTCTTGTAGCCTGGCGCAAGGATGGTCGTCCCATCAATGGTGGTCGTTATCAGGTGATGGAGAACGGTGACCTCATCATCGAGGTAAGTCCGCCCATCATCTGTAAGGAAGACTCATCCTGATACCACCATTTCGCAATAGCTTTCATGTCACTCTATAAAGACCTCAAACTAGATCCGCAGTAGGCTGGTCTAGGCAATTTTGTTTCGTCCATTAAAGTCTAAAGTTTGTAATATCATAGCGAAGGTAGACAGGTTGAATGTAATTGCATTTGCATAATATATATTCTTTTTGTAATGTTTTTTTACGGTTTCATTAAAAATAAAGCGAAACGATTTTGTATGCAGGATTTTGGCAGCATTCCTTTGTTATGCCAACGAAAAGAAACAACAAATAATTATAAGTTACACATAATCCTAATTGCTCTCGCAATTAGCACAAAATCACTGTTATGATTGGCATACGACACAGCGTGGTATACAATCTTCAGTTTCCCCACTTCATAGAGAACGACTAATTGTCCCACTTAGTTGCTTTCTTAGCAAAAGTTATTTCACTCTAAACTATAATGATAAATTTGATTCTGAGGTGAAATAATTGTCTGATTTGCAGTCAGGTACGGTGGCAGACACGGGAATGTATGAGTGTACGGCGACGAATCCCTTCGGTGTGACAAAGGCTGCGGGCTCGCTAGCAGTACGTCGGCGCACACGGGTCACCCTGGCCCCCATCGAGACGTGGGTGTACGAGGGCCAACTGGTGAAGTTCGTCTGCACCGCAGACACCGACCCGGAGGAGGTGGCAAATCTGAGGGTGACTTGGTATAAGGACAACAACCTCATCGATCCCTTGCTTACGCCGCGGATAGAACGAGTAGGCTTTGACTACTCCCTCGTCATAGGCGGTGCGCAGGCTCTTGATACCGGACAATACCGTTGCAATGCCTCCAATGGACTTGACTTTGCCACTGCCACAGCTTCTCTCCTCGTTCAAGGCAAACATATCGGTTTTGTTTTGTTTAGCATATTTAAATCAGTTCATTAACGATGGACCTAAACAAGGGCTGCAAATTGCGTCAAAAAGTAGCTTTCAGTTCCCAATATTAATTTACAAGTTCGCCACTCTTTATTTTAACGTTCTTCATAGTCGTTCTGCTGAAGCGGAAGAAATGGAGCAAGCAATACTCCTTGGCAAAGACATTTTCCAACTCGGCATTTTACCTTTTTTTGTACACGTTTAAATACAGTGATACATTAAATAAACTTCATCCTCTACGTAGTCAAAGTAATTATATCACAGCTTTTAAAATTGTATCAATGACTTTCAATGGAACTACGCAACAATTTCAATTCAGTCTGTCAATTTGCATGCGCCACAAGAGACAAACTCTTCCTGTTTCTGAACCCTAGGCAGGCCAAATCAGCCACGCAATCTGGTGGAGGACTGCATCACTTTTGCTCCATCACGGCGAGCCATGCTGAAGTGGGCTCCCGGCTCCGATAACTATGCCCCAATCATCGAGTACATCGTCGAGTTCTCGACACAATACGAACGCGAGACTTGGTATCGAGCTGAGATCTACAACTTGACCGGTCTACTGCAGGCTACCGATGCTAAGGTGTGCTAGTGACGATTGCTGTAAAACAGATGAATTTTTCAGAGGTGCATTTTTTGTCCTCTTTTTCCGATTTACAGATAGTCCTTCGTCCAAATATAGACTACCGGTTCCGCATTCGCACCCGCAATAGAGTGGGACTTTCAGAACCCAGTGTCGCCACCACGGGAACTTGTTCAATTGCGGCCACAGAGCCAGACAGCAATCCAAGGGAGCTCTACGTGTACGGAACTGCACCGAATAACCTTGTTATTCAGTGGTCTGTGAGTCAGACTACTAATTTCCAGTTGCTTATCTGGTGAATTAGCCTAGTGAGATTAAGCGATAGTAGTCTTATTGAAAAGTTTCTTAAAAGTGTAAAGGCAGAAGCTGTGGCGCCGAAAACTTGCTGTTTTCCTGTTGACTAGACTATGCCGTACATTGAACACTATGCAAACAACCTCGTCTATTTGCTCACCGTTCGCTGTCTTAACTGCAACAACATACGTCCAGGAGATATCAACACAACGATAATTAGTGACTGGAGAACAGATCGAATCACGTACACCATGTTCCAGAGTGGTGACCCATCCAGTAGGATCATACGACCCATCGAATCCTACAAGCTGTTTGAGGTAAGGCCATAGGATTTTTAAATGACTTCGTATACTTCTTCGAATGCCTCGCTGGTGACCCGTGTCTGCTGCCTTGAAGGTGACAATACAGAGTCGCAACGACAAAGGCACGAGCACAAAGGCACCGACTGTTGCTAGAGGCTACTCGGGTGAGAATATGCCCAGCATTGCGGCCTCTGCTTTGACCGTAGTACGTCCCACCTCAGATGGAGCCGTTCTGCAGTGGACCATCATCCTCCAAAATCAGGAGCCCTTAGTTAACGGATTTTTCCGTGGATATCGAATAGAGTGGTGCGATGCCACGCTTAATCAGGTTGAGTGTGAAAGACAGAAGAGGTTCCAGGTTGGTGAATGCACTTCGTTTCCACTTCGTTACACCGTGGCTTACTTAATAGTGATCTGCAGAATTTTGAGATCCTTTTTATCTCTGCAGTTAGCGTGCTAAATTATACTTGTAACTACGCACAAATTACCTTTTATTTGTAGGATGAGAAACAAGTATAGGGGTCACTTATAAAGAGATTTTGCTCATGTTGACTACCTGCTTTAAACAAGAGTCGACAGTTTTACCTTAATTTGAAAAACTGCCCAGATAGTGCGTACAATTTATAATGCCTCCAGGATAGTTAATGTAGCTGTGGGATTGTTCTGTGGTAGGATACGAAGTCTAAGCATCAAATATCTGAAAATGCAAATCGCTAAAACGCAGTCTCAAAGCAAGAATGACCGTTGTAATCATGTGAACGAGTTCCAAAACCAAAGATGTCGAAGGTTTCATTTGGATATAAACTCGGCACTGTTGTATACCACTAAGATTCTGTTATAGCTGTTTTTTGGCATCGTTCAATAGGATGTCCTCTTTCAACGACTGCCTAGTCCAACCTATTACATGCGACGACCTCGCTCGCTTAGTGAGGCCCACGAAGAAGGGTCGGAAGACGAAAATGAGCTTTCAAGCCTTTTGCGTTTCTTCCATTTCCCTCCTTCCGATACTAGTTCTACGCTTCCAACCACTAATTATCTCCATGATGTCGATGAGGGTTTCTGTCGCAATCGCGTCTACCAGTCGCCTTCGTGTCTAGGCGAGGCTCTCCAACACGTTCTCTCACGCTCCAGACGCCAACTTGTCACTATGACGACAGCACCAGATACAACAGAAACTATTACTTTGCGAAACTTTTCCTGGGGCGAAACCGTTAATTACACACTGATCGGTGTGCCAGGGGCAACTAAGGTTAAGGTGTGGCTACGAATACTTAACAGTCTTCATGCTAGCCCTATGGGGTGGGTTGCTATCTTCCGCTCGCAACCTTGTCTGGAGCTTCAAGATGCTAATGTCTAAATTTTCGCATTTTAGTCCCACTGTGACACTGGAGACTCTCGAGGGCCCTCCTGGTCCGGTGTCGGAACTGCGGGCTGTAATGGTTGGAATAAACCGCGTTAACATTTCATGGAATCCACCGACCGAGCCCAACGGCGTAATTACAGGCTACGATTTCGAGGCGCATGAAAGTACGCAATGGTTCATTATAAATATGAATTAATAATTATTTTTCTTACCAGTTAGGGGTTTAGACATTGCTTTATCGTCAAGATATCCCACTGTGTATGATAGTTCTCTGACCGGTTATCAAATGACAGCATTGCGATCGAACACTTCTTATCGGTTGGTTGTGTTGGCACGAACATCGGCTGGTCTAGGAATCGACTCTTTTATTGACGTTACAACCCTGGATGCAACATCGAGTGAGATTTTCTCTTTTATTTCCAATAATAGCGGGCTGGTCTGTAATAAGACTTCATTTTTTTGTTTTAGCACCTGGAGCTCCAACATTTTTCGTGTCTGATATCACTGAGACGAGTTTTAACATAACTTATGAACCCAGTCATAGAGGAGAGCCGGGCTCGGTATTCTTTGTCCAGTATCGAATACCTGGCATCATATTATGGCAGGAATCGCTCCGCGTCTTTCTTTCACGAACCATTTATGTTGCTAATTTACTGCCTTGTGAGAATTTTGATAATTACATACCTTTACTACTTGCTTTACTTGAATAACAATAAATTTTCGCCTACTTGTGGCCTCAGCGACAAAGTACGAGGTGAGAATGGTAGCAACTAATGGAGCTTTCCTTTCTACTCCGTCGCCTTCCAAGGCCATCACGACCTCCGGCCCTCCACCACCGGGAGGCCTAGAGGGAGCCAGTGCCACCTGGTTTGCCATCGTTATCATTCTCCTCATTCTCATCATTTTTACCTTTGTCCTCATCGTTTGCATACGTGGGCAGCGTCTCAAGGAAGGTAATGTAAGAAATCAGCGTCCTATCAATGATGATACCGAAAACCTTGACTCTTTCTCTCGACAACAAATGGGAATTTTTCCGTTTTAGTCCAAGAGAAGGCTGCGCCAACTGGGACTTTATTCGAGTCTGCAATGTAAGCTTCTGCTCAGAAATTGCACACTGAATCATCTCAAGTTTTCGCAGTCTTTATTTACCAATCGACCAGTGGTATCAATTCCTTATTGAAGCAGGGATAAATAAAAGAGGGAATGAACGTATTTGAGAAGCAAGTGGTTTCGTATTCTTTGGGTTGTCCTATGTATTTTAAACTAGTTTGTGTGATTTAAAGTACGCATTCTTCCTTCAAATACATTTTCTAGCCCAGAAGAAAGGAATGCATTTATCGAGGACCGTATAGTTGGGATTTCAAAGCTTGAAGAAAATGCAAAAAACTGTCAAAGTGTGTCACTTATTACAGCCGTATTTCAAACCCTGTCGATAGAAGGCAGTGTGATGACAATCACTGAACCTTAAAATATTTCCACACACTTCAAGAACGCCTTCGGCATGATGCCTACGCAACCATGAGTTACAGCGGCGTGTACTGTGACGAATTGCCATAGTTTTAATGTCTTCACTCTTTAGGTTTTTGGAGCCCCAGTCTCTACTGAGTGCGGAGCAGGAGCCTTTGAACCCCACGATACCCTATGGATCAATGGGACTACCCCAACCACCAGTTGAGCTTGCCTCACCACTCCCTGAGGATGTTCACCGTGATCACTTTGATCGGCCCTACTATCCAAATCAACCAATCAGCGGCAGTGAGATGAGTTGGGACCCAATGGAAGGTATATACATCTCAATCGTTTTTGGTATGCTTTGCTTGCCTTAATAGAGTTCTCCGAATATGTGTGACAAATTTCTAAATGGCCTTTTGTGGAAAGGCAAAGGCAATGTGTAGAAGCATCATGATAATAGGCGTTTAAGAGCTGTTTGTTATTGATTGCACAGATCGAGTGGCACCTAACGCGGAAGTGGGAGGGGATGAGGCGATTGAACTTTCTGACCTTTCATTGGCCTCTTCTGCTGGCAGAGTGCATCACTACGTTCCTCGGAGCGTTGGTAGTGCCAGCAGTAATGGTGGTAGTGGTTCCGGCGATGGCTATCGAAGACGTCGTAGCAGTCGTCCACGCGGTCGCAGTGTGGAAAACCAACCCACTATAATTTGAAAGCCAAACAAACAAAAGCACACTGGCAATTGGTCATTGTCATTTCTCCTCAATTTTGAAAGTCGCATCCAGTTTGGATGCTATCTTTTTCCTCTTTTGACTCGGTGGGTTGAGTGGTCCTACAATCTAAGCTGTTGATAAAGGAATCTTCTCGATGTCAAATCATGCAACCGCCTTCCGATTTGTTCAATTGGTTTTTTTGATTTTCCTTAATCGACTTTTAGTTCCAGTCTGTGTTAACGGTATGCCAATGAAGGTGGCATTCAAATGGCTGCTCTTTGGAATCGACGGAGTGTCATTGCGATTGCCATGGATCTGGTTGACCATTTTGTTCTCGATGCAAGAGAATAGTTCCGTAAACACTTGAATAGGTTGAAGGAGGAACAATATATTTAGCTAAGAAAATTTTCTCTACCGTATTTCCAACTTGTGGCTTATAGGCTTTTCTTAACATACCAGTTATTGGCACACCCTCCATTTGTTTCGTTCATAAATGAAGAATTGTTTGTGTACATCATCATCATCATCATCAGCCCCTCTTTAAGAGAAGTGCATTCCTTGGCCTTGAAATTCCTTTAGTGAAGGTTGGTATGACAGTAGTGAAAAGACAATGTTTCGCTTGACACATCAGAACGACTAGAGAGAAATTGGTCTCAAGCTGGCGCTACAAACCAAAAAATTGCAACTTATTTCTAAAAATACCACTACTTATGAGCGGACTTTTAGCTGTAAGTTGTTTTCAAGTACCTCCTTGCACAAATAATTTTCCAACTCATCTCGTCTCACATTTTCTTCTCAATCAGCATTGATAAAAATTAGGAGTGAATGAGGTCGAACTTGTCAATTAAGGGAGATTCAAAGCGTACATTCATACTTCCGTCTAGCTAGCTGAATTCGTCTGTCAAGCGAAACAAAAGCCATTCCAAGTGCTACTCATCCACTCTTCCTGTCTTTTCCTTACTGATTAATTAATTTTTTCCCATTTCACTCAAAATGTTTTGCTGTGCAAACAAACGTTACAATGAAATGTTCACGCACTCTCACCAACCTCCCTTCATCGCTTTTTTTGTTGTCGAGTGGTCTTTGACCAACGTTTGGACCTCGTTTAATGGCGCGGTTATTTATTTATTGGGAAAAATTTGCATGTGTTTCATGAAAATAAAATAATTTTATACGTTTTGCTGCAGTCATAAAATTTAATTTGGGATGATACGGTGAATCTACGCACTTACTAGTTGAAGGAGGTGGCTTTGAAGATATACTCTCTTATCTGGAAGTCGTTACCACCGTCATCTCTGGCTGGAGCGGAATGGCACCCTTGGGAAGGTGAGCTAAGCAGCGTGAGACATTCCCTCACCCCAACTGACGATGGGCTGTTAATTAACATTGTAACCTGGCATGTGAATTCTTAAGCCTCGGCTTGGATGTGCAAGTATATGCGCTTAGGACAGTTAATCAGAGGTATAAATGGCCGCAGATCTTGGCTTGTACGTCGGTTGGCTTTGCTACAGAATCCACTCTCGCTGAAAATCAAGCTTTAGAAATAATATCATTGCCTGCGGAAGTGCAGGCACTCGAGAAATTTTCCCACAGCATAATTGCCTTATTTCAAATTTTTGAAACTTTACTGCCAAATTAATTTTCATTAAATGCTTTTTATCAGTATGTTGGCACCTTAGAAGTCCTGCTGTGTATTTCAAAATGTTGTGTCACCCGTACAAACTCAAGGTAATAACAACAAAACCAACTAAATACTTGCAGCAGACAAGCTAAGTGTTTGGAATCCTTGTTTCATAGGAATGGGATTCACCAATTAAGTGACTACCAGGAGGCAAATCTCTTCCAAGTACAATCCTTATAAGTTATCAATTTTTTAATCTGACGGCTTACACATACTTTAAATCTTGTCCAATGAGTAGTTCGATACATCCGATAAAAATCAGGGCTCCTTGCAATTGTTGACCCATCGTAAAGTTATTGCAGATGTCGATTTTAATGAAATGGCACAAGAATTTTAAAAATTAGGTGATATGTAAAGGCGACGAGTTTCACCTCACGGTAGTTAATGTGCATTGTGTTGTTCGCATGATCCGCGTGCTCACATCAAATACTAAGCCAATCACGACGACGACATACCTCACCACCACTGCACTCTAATTGGCCGGATGACCAAAAGCGCCGAAGCAGCCACTCTCCAAATCCGCGTAAGTGCATCCCAAATAGCTCCATTACCATGTCCTCTTCCCAAGCCATCACCTCCTTAGATTACCTCGACACTCAACATGCTTACATAACACATTTCTACAATTTGTTAGAGTCTTTCATTAGTCTTCCTCCACATAATCCCAGCGCACTTCCCCTCGTCCAAAATGGATTTAGTGTCCTCCCAAAGGCGGCACCGGAGGGACTTAAGAAAAGGACATTTGAATGCTGTCTTTGCGGCGCCGTCTACCCCACTCCTCTCCATCTAGCTCAGCACAGCTGTCCCCAAATGACCCGAACGGCCTTTCAGTGCCAAGATTGCCACAAGGTAAGGTATTTTTAGTTCTATGCCTATTCATTGCACAATGCATTTAACTACAGTAGGTTTTAAAAACGCTCATAAAAAAATAGAGGTGATTCTACTTTACACATCTTACCGACAAAGTTGATTTTAAGGATTGCTATGAAACACGTAGAATAATGGCGCGGTATGCCAACGCTTTGATGCAACTAACTTCCACATGTTAGTAGAGGAAAGACTCCTCAACAAATTTTCTTAATCCTCAATGCATAAGGAGGTGAGACAATGGTTTTCTTTTCTGTCGGATGCACTCTCATTAAATTCATAAAAATGTTGAGCGACTGTTCAGTCAAACACTCGTATCACCCTTATGCTTCGACCCAGAAAGCATCTGCATCAGAATGAGTAAGGTCTACCTGTCAGGGTCGTTTCTTTTACCATGAACTTTTCAAAGATTCAAGGCTGTCTACAAAATGATAAACAAACACAATATTCTGCAATGCTAAAGCCTACAGCTAACGTCAGGTTTAGTTGCAAACTGTAGTCGCTGGGTGCTTTCCGAAATTTTTCCTTAAGAATGGATTCAAGCTAGTAGAATATTTACAGTGAAATGAATGCACTCTAAAAGTGTCGTAACTAAGGCTGCTTCCCTATAAACTACAATATGCAGCAGATGCCTGACTACATCCCTATTAAAGACTTGGTAAAGAGTTCAAGCTTTTACAAATAGTTTTATTTAGATTCTGATGAGCAGGCTTGTGGTCTCCTCCCTTCATTTCGACAACGCAATCTTGTGGTCATGTGTAATCGGCACGAATATAGGTTCGTCTCTTACCAGCACAGCACACAATTGACCATTGCATTGCGATTCTAGGCATTCAGCTGTTCAGCTAACTTGGCGAGTCACCAACGATGGCACAGACCAAAATCAAATACAGTCAGGCCACTTCGGCATATTGCACACTCCCGAAGGCGGTACGGCCAACTCGGAAGGCTAACTTCCTTTTCACAAGCCGGTGAGAGCAGCTGCAATATCAAAGATATCCTCCAAAACCAGTCTACCACTAACACAATTGCGTCACAATTTACTCCTGCCGATGCAAGTGCAACACCATCATTCAGCATCGATAGAATCCTCTATTCAGAAACCAACAGACATCACTCCCAAAATATATTCACTTGCTTCCTTTGCAATGAAAAATGCTTCACTCTAAGTGATTTCGAGGATCACATCATTGAACATTTGCTGTGCACCCGTGAGTAATGAAAGATCGCTTCGATGATGCCTTTTGGTTCGGCATGGGATTAAACTAACTGGCGGTAGTGATCACCGTTGAGGTTTTATTTGACTTCGATGTCCTCCCAACTTCTGGTGCGTTTCAGCACTTGAAGTTCTCCCAGGGGTTTTGTACTGCAGTTTCATCATCCATCACCAATGGGAGGGTGATGGGGATGAAAGATTTCAATTTGACCAGATACAGTAGGCATTTCTGCTAGGTTCGGGATCAAAACAGTTTAAGTAGCTCAGATACATGCTGACTGTTGGCACACAAAATGTTGAAAGTTAAAGCCCATGACCTTGTAGGAGCTTAAAGCCACTAAAACACTCGCCGAGAGCACTGAAATCCACCTAATGCAAAGCTTACTCGGGGGTAATTTGTAAAAAGTAGCAATGGTTATTCGGTCCGGTTACTTTGGCTTGTTCTCAATCCTCAGCAGACACTTGGCATTTGCAGTGACAGAACGTAGAAGAGAAGTCACCGATGAACAACTCAAACTTTCGATAAACTCGTGCTTTTTAATAGCTAGTTTTATTAATGGTTTATCCGTTACTCCACCTGTGCTTACAAATACCACTGCCTGGTTTACCTCCCTTTGGTGATCTTTGCCAACTAGTCAATGTGCTCATCATGGGGAAGCAAGGTAATGTTGTTCATGTTTCACCGCATGTATAAAATACACGCCCCATGTTTAGCTGTTTTCTCCATGCTAGCTACGATTTACATAATCCAAAGAGCAAAGATCCATCTAAGGGAAGTAACGTATCAAAATGAGCACTTTCAATCTGTTGTTAATGTATGCTAAACCAGTATCACTGGACGACACACCCGCGTATCATAACTGGGTTGAGAACTCTCCTTCACCCTCGCAACCCTAAGATACCCGATCGCATTCGTTTGCGGCGTTGTCTGCGAACTCAGTCCTGCCACCTGCCACCAGCAGCACTTGTTACTCCCCATGTGGCTAAGACGCTCATCTCATTCTGTTGGTCATGAGAATTTTGCCATGTGCACCACAGTTGCCCCAGTAAGGGGAATTGAAGAATAGCTCGATGGGAATTCCCTCCCTCCAAGCGCCCATTGTCTCTCTAGGTGAATTCTGCACAGCGCAAGAAGCATCGTCCAAAAGGATTTGAGGCTCTCCATTTGTAGTAAACTAAGTTCGTTCTATTCTACTTTCAACACACCTTAAAAATTATTTCAAGCTAATCCGTTGC